TTTGAAGATATGGAGRCATTATTTGTATGGAACGAAATGTCAAATCTTCACAGATCATAAGAGTTTGCAACATCTGTTCCATCAGAAAGACCTGAATATGCGTCAGAGAAGATGGTTGGAATTGGTAAGTGATTATGATTGTGAAATTTTGTATCATCCAGGAAAAGCAAATGTAGCAGCCGATGCATTAAGTCGACAAGAGAAAAGTGAAACCATCAAAGCTATAGCTTTACGAGTTGAATTGCTACCCAGTATTCAGGATGAATTATGGGAATTTCAGCATGAGGCAATAAAGGAGGATAAAGTTAAACAAGAAAGAATTGGTGGATTGATATCTGAATTTGTGAAAGATGATAGTTTTGGAAGTTTCAGAACAGAATTTGAGTACCATGCTATGGTGATCTCAGAAAACGTATTTTGGGTGAGGCTCATAAGTCACGTTTTGCAATTCATCCAGGTACAAATAAAATGTATCGAGTTTTGAAGCAACATTTTTGGTGGCCGGGTATGAAGAAGGATATAGCTAAGCATGTTGAGAAATGCTTAACATGTCTTAAGGTAAAGATTGAACATCAACGCCCTTATGGTAAGTTACAATCTTTAGAAATTCCGGTGTGGAAGTGGGATCATATCACTATGGATTTCATAACCAAATTGCCGAGAACATCGAAAGGGTATGATGCTATATGGGTGATAGTAGACCGGTTATCCAAATCTGCACACTTCTTACCTATGAAAGAGTCATATTCGATGGAGAGACTGACAAAATTATACATTGATGAGGTAGTGACACGACATGATGTTCCTCTATCAATTGTTTCTGATAGAGATAGTCGGTTCACTTCTATGTTTTGGAAGAGCTTCCAAAGAGAAATGGATTCGCAAATTAAGCTAAATACAGCTTATCATCCTCAGTTTGATGGACAGAGTGAGCGAACTATCCAAACATTGGAAAATATGCTTAGAGCATGTGTCATTGATTTCGGAGGATCATGGGATAGTCATTTGGCTCTGGTGGAATTTGCGTACAACAATAGTTACCATTCGAGTATTCAGGCAGCACCTTTTGAGGTTCTGTATGGACGCAAATATCGAACTCCTTTATGTTGGAACGAAATAGGTGAAAAACAGTTAGCTGGGCCTGAGTTGGTTCAACAAGCTGCAGATAAAATAGGAGTAATTCGAGAGCGAATGAACGCCGCACAAGATAGACAAAGAAGTTATGCAGATAAGCATCGGAAGCCGATTGAGTTTCAAGTTGGTGATAGAGTGATGTTGAAGGTATCACCATGAAAAGGAATAGTACGTTTTGGTAAGAGAGGAAAGTTAAGTCCAAGGTACATTGGACCATTCCTTATTATTGAAAGGATTGGAGAAGTGGCCTACAAACTAGAACTTCCGTTAGAGCTAAGTGGGATCCATGACATGTTTCATGTGTCAAATTTAAGGTAGTGTCTAATAAACCCGGATGTAGCAGTGCAATTACCTGAAATTAAGGTAGATGAAAAGTTATGCTTTGAAGAAACCCCTAAACAGATTACTGACTACAAGGTGAAGAAATTACGAAATAAAGAAGTTGGGTTAGTAAAAGTTCAGTGGCATTATCACAAGGGACCAGACGCCACCTGGAAATCAGAATCAGAGATGCAGATGAAGTATCCCTATATTTTTGCTTAAAAGGAATTCCGGGACGAAATTCTTTTAAGGAGGGAAAGTTGTAATAATCCGGTTTAAAAATTTATATTTTGAGAATTTGATATATATATATATATACATATATACTTATATATATATGTATGTGTGTGTGTGAGGATTGGTGTGTGGGGGAAAGAGTTTTATAGCCACCTTGTAGTAAAAGGCGGTTATGGCACTTGCTATATATAGCAAGTGCCTTTGATAAAGAAAACTCTCTCTTTGTTTGGCTGATTTGAGAAGAAAATTGTAGGGAGAAAAGAGTGAAAATAAGCTACAAATATTGAAGTCAAAATTTATAATCAAAGGTGAGTGTATATTGCTTTAAAGTATTGGTTATTACTTCTTTTACTGCTAGAATCTGCTATTTATGAAATGCATTTCATAAATATTTAGTTAAGTCCTTAAACCGGACAAAGAGTGTCCAGAGTTCTCCTTAAACCGGTCAAGAGGTGACCGGATCTCATCTAAATCGGTCAAAGGTTGGACGATGTATTGTCCGGATTGTTTTAAATCNGGTCAAAGGTTGGACGATGTATTGTCCGGATTGTTTTAAATCAGTCAAAGGTTGGACGATGTATTGTCCGGATTGTTTTAAATCGGTCAAAGGTTAGACGATGTATTGTCCGGATTGTTTTAAACCGGTTAAGTTGTGAGCGGGGTATTGTCCGGACTTGTTATCCGGACAAAGATATTGACTTAGTTCTAAGTGTTAACCGGATAAAGCTTATACAAGGTGTTGTTCGGATTGTTGACCGGAGATGATGTAACCCTCTTGATATTCTAAGTGTTTGTCCGGATTTCATATCCGGACAAGGTTGACCGGACTTCGAATCCGGATAATGTGTTAGAAAATTTGATATATTGTATCCGCGAGAGAGATGTAATGGCGGTGTAACCGCGAGAGAGATGTAATGGCGGTGTAACCGCGAGAGAGATGAAATGAGTATATGTATCGGAACAGGTTTGATTCTGAACTGATTGTTTAGAAAGTGTGTTATTTGTTTGAGATTTATGCACTCACTAGACCTTTTGGGTCTAACGCTCAGCTGTTGGACTAACCGGTTTTGCAGGTCATCATACCTCGCAGGATAAAGGAAAGGGAAAAGTTTAATGTTGATGACATTTGTTTGCTCATAAATGTAGTAAAGAAAGTTTTTGTTAGTCCGTGTTTTGTAATAATACTATTTTTAGTATTATGAGTATATATATGTGGATTATCTGTATATGAAAACTAGGGTTGTTATTGTGGTGCACCCGCAAATCGATGCAAATTGGAAAGAGCATACTTATTTCAAACTTTAGGAGGTTATTTCAACCGTCACTTTTAAAATTCTATATATATCACCTATATGTGCCCTTACGGTTTCCAATACATCTCACCCTACACCCGACTTTCTATCTTTCTCTTCATCTCTATCTACACCCAAACACATATATTGTTTTGTATGTGCAGATTAAACATACATGAACAAATGTTAGGGTTTAGAGGAAGAAGAAGACAAAATCAATGGTCTGTTTAGAGAAGGAGGCAAGTAGTGGTTTGTGAGGGATATTGCCTGGTTCGATGCATTCACTCTCTTTCTTATGATATTGAAAAGAAAGGTCATTGCATCGGACTAAGCTTCATTCCTTTCAAATCCTTTTGTAATAATGACATGGCTAATAAGATATTACCGGATGAGTTAATATCAGAAAATAGAATGTTTAATATTTATATGTTATTAGAAAATGATATATACTTGGAAAACCATATTGCATAGTGCAACCTTGTACATTAACATATTTAGGCAACCTACAAACTATGAAAACCAACGCTATAGCAGTGTTGTAAGTTTGGAGAAAAAATATGGGGAGTTTTATTCTAAGTTTGAGAATTAACTACACAATGTAACTCTGCAAAACATAATGCAGTGGTTTATCTTTGGAAAGAAACATTTCAACAATCTGCTAAGTCTGATAAATGAGAGACAATTCATCAAAGGTTAATTATTCACAGGTTTGTACTAAGTATGTGAAATGAGTTTGAGGAAACATTTGAAACGTAGCAAATTACAGTTGTATATTAAGATAGTTAAGGCAACCAACACTATAGAAGTGTTGAAAGTTTGGAGAAAAAGTATCAGGATTGTTATCCCAATTCTGGAAAGTGGCTACAAATTATAACTCTGCAAAATAGAATGCAGGAGACGTTGGATAAGTCTGTGGCGTTCAGACTTGTAAGTTTGGTTAAAAGAAATCCAGACCTCAAATATGTTTGGAGAACCATACTACATACTTGAAATTTGTATGTTTATCATTACCATATTAAACAAGCGACCATTAATCAGACTTATAGTTCAATAAAATAACTTTTGGAAATAAGTTCAATATGGGAGATGATAGTCTAGAGTTATTTCATAAATGTTGAAATAACTTTGTAGTGATTCTATACAGATTTCAGGGCTTTGTATAGGCAAGACATAACTTCTGCATAAACTATGCAAATAAATGTTATATTTCTTAAAACAACTCTAAGAATGAATTTGGCGGGTAGTACTTAGGAGTTGCTTTCTATGGTTACAAGTTCTTTTCAAAGTATCACTGTGGAAAGAAACAGTTCATCAGTCTGCTAAGTCTGAGACATGAGTAACAATACATCAAAGGTTCATTAGTCAGCGTTATGTACTAAATATGTAAAATGAGTTTCAGAAAACATTTGAGGCATAGCAAACTAGAATTCAAACATTTGCATAGGCGAAGCAGAACGACTGCATGGACTATTCATAAGCTGTGTATGGTAGTTCACATGGTGCTCCATCTAGAAAATAAGACTTTAGAGTTGGGTTGAGTGAACTCTTCAAAATGACTCTTCAGACCTATGTTGTAGGACTTTAACTCCAAATGTGAAGTTTGTTTAGTACTACTTTGGAGATGTCTTATAAGGATGAAAATTTAATGCACATTACAACTCTGGAAAACAACATAGCAAAGTTCTCGTATAAGTATGGAAGGCAACATCTCATAGTTATATTCCAACTCTGGGAAATAACTCTCACCAATTAATCAAGGCCTAGACGGATTCAGAGTACTCCTTCTCATTGCCTACTTCTGAAAAGAACATTCTCATTAAAACTTGTGATTGGCAAAACGAACACAATTATGTAGTCATGCAAATAAGTTTAATATTAAATCCAAAACAAATAACAAATAAAGCGTATAGCAAAATAAAAGCACCAATTCAGAAATCTCTGTTCAAACCAAAATCCAACCACAAAAGAAATACCAAAAAGAAGGTTGAATGTAATTGTCCATCAAAACCAAGAATATCACTTTTCAAGTTTTGGAATTTTTAGAGTTTTGGTTGCCAATCCTTTCCCTTCATGATCGGCATCATAAGTACCTTCAAAATTACGTTTACGATCAATACCTTTACCAAGCCTTTTCTCATACAACTTCTCTTGTGATTTCAGACTATCTGCTGTACTCTTATCCACATCGGAGGGTGTTGCATTCTCACCAGTACATGATACATCATCCTTCAAATAAGTTAATAGTCAGATATGTCATTTTAAGAAGTAGTTGCTTTCATTTTAAATTTACAAACTACATTGAAGGTAGCATTTATAATACCTTTAACTTCTTTTGAGAACTGAAATCTGTTGAATGAACATTTACAGATTCAAATTCAGCAGGCTGCATAATAAATCATACAATAATGTTACACTAACAAAGATTTGAGACTAAACTGGATGATAGTTTCTGCCAATGATAATTATTACCTGTTGAGCAGCAAATCTCATCTCCAATTCATTCAAGATGTTATCATCATTTGTTAGCTTTGAAATACCATAAATAAAACAACTATTTTTTATGTTGTAATCATTTATGTCGATCTTTATTGCAAATTTCTAATCAAGCAAAACATCCAAATCGTCCGGAAACATATCCAAATCACCATGCTGGAAAAAAAATCAAACACCTTTTACATTAACAAACATTTGGAAACAAATAAAAAAATTCAAAAAAAGATAAGACTTCTAATCATACCTCTTTATTTTTTTATATAATTATGTTGCAGTTTGATTCAAAACCTTGTTAGCTTCCTGATCAAACAATGTCGATGATACAATTCCAGTATCATCTTGAACTCTCAAAGGAATTCTGAACCTATATCATTATTAAGTCAACATTAATATAAGAATATAAAAGATAATGAAAAGTAGTGTTATGTAGTTGTAACTTACTTTGGCAAAACATCAGTTTTTTGCCTTTTGCATCTATCAGAAGTACATTAAAAAATTTCCGTTTCTTCAATCATACTCGATCCATCATCTTTGTCTGTTATAGTGTACATGGGTCAAACCTTTCGGTTACACCTTTTGCAACCCATGTAAAACCAAAGAATGTGTTTTTTAAATGCTTTAACTGTTCCTAATATAATTAGTGATTTTGCCTGTATAAAGTATGTTAGGACCAAAATTGATCCTAATTATTCTAAAAGTTTTATCAAAGCAATCGGGGCCAAGGATGGAAAATCTGAAGATGCTGCTGTGCTGAAACGACTAAGTCTGGAAAAAAGACCAGAGCCCCTATGGACGACCAGAGCCCCTATGGACGACCAGAGCCTCTATTTGTATTGACCAGAGACTGTGGACTCTAATTCCTTTAGGACCAAATCCCCTATGGACGACCAGAGGTGTGATGAACGTCCATAGGTGCGATGAACTGCGCATCTCTATAACCCCTCTRGTTGGTCTATGCTCTGGATGACTATCTTCAGAATCTTGAAGGATGGTGCTGATCCCATTTTCGATAATGATTATTWCCTTGTTTATAGGATTTAGTTACCTTATTTATAGGATTCAGTTATCATGTAAATATCGCCTATATAAGAAGTGATACAGGTATAGAGTAGAAGTGAGATGAATTATCAACACTTTGTAACACACAGATTCAAAGACATCACATGAGAGTCGATTAGGGTTTTTGAGAGATTGTATTTTCCATTCAATAAAGAAAGCGGTGACCGATTTCTATTCATCTTCTTCTACAAATCTCTTTTTAAATTCTTTTACATTACTCTACTGTCAGATCTGGGTTTAACAATTGGTATCAGAGCCAAATCGATTAACTTATATCGATTCGATCTTTCTGCAGTAGATTCAATTTTCTTGAACAATACTCTTTCGTGAACTGCTTCCTGTTCGACTGCAGTTTGGACCCAAAATTCATCGATTCATCATATGATTACATGTTTTAATCAAATTCATTTTAAGGGATTTGTTCTTGGATGAATACGAACCTATTTTGATCATAAAAAAAATTTGGTTTATTTGATGGAGTTTCTTGGAGTCAGTCGAACTTTTGAACTTTGATTTTGTCACATCTACGCGTAGGCGTTAAGCAGGAGTTCATGGTTCTCATAGCCTAAGGCAATTGGCATTTTGTTTGTCAAACTTATACTTATCGCCCATATCTTGAGTATTTGTTCATAGTCTCTCCTTGTAAATCTGAATCTGTAAGAGCTTAAAGATTTATTTACCTGCAATCACCAATCCTATATGAATATGGCGATCTTCCTTCATGTTTTGCCCTTAGAAGCATCAACAACAATACTGTCAATTTTCTTTGAATTGACCTGCTGTTTCTTGAAGTCATAAAGCTTAATGTTTAATTCTTCTCTCCAGTTCTCAATTCCAATGGTGTTTGCTTTGGTTATTCAAGTTATCTCCAATTGGATCAAGCTCTAAAGCTGAATTCCTACTCAACTTGCGGTTCAACAAAATATTCTTTGTTATAAGACTGGTTGCACCGTTTTGTCAAGAAATTCACACATTTATCTACCCCTTAGTTGGACGAATTTGCTACATTTGGGGTTAAGTGGCTATTCTGTGCTTCAAAGTATGTGCTGGGTTGTAGGCAGATTAAAGCTGCATTCTGTGCAATCAGTGGTGCTGCATTCACATTGAGTCTGATTTGGTCTAAGAGTTGAAAATGAAGATTAGAGAGCTACATTCAGGGGGGAGCTTGAAGATTCCACCCATACCAAGCACACTAAACCTTTATTGAAGAAAGCAGAGGGGAGAAGACCTAAAGGCTTCATGAGGATGCTTGCTTCATAAAACTTTGGGGGGAGATTGTTAGGACCAAAATTAATCCTAATTATTCTAAAAGTTTTATCAAAGCAATCAGGGTCAAGGATGGAAGATCTGAAGAACCTGCTGTGCTAAAAAAACTAAGTCTGGAAGAAGAGCAGAGCCCCTATGGACGACCAGAGCCTCTGTTTGTATTGACCAGAGACTCTGGACTATAATTCCTTTAGGACCAGAGCCCCTATGAACGACCAGAGGTGCGATGAACGTCCATAGGTGCGATGAACTGTGCATCTCCATAACCCATCTGGTTGGTCTATGCTCTGGATGACTATCTTCAGAATCTTGAAGGATGGTGCTGATCCCATTTTCGATAATGATTATTTCCTTGTTTATAGGATTTAGTTACCTTATTTATAGGATTCAGTTATCATGTAAATATCGCCTATATAAGAAGTGATACATGCATAGAATAGAAGTGAGATGAATTATCAACACTTTGTAACACACAGATTCAAACACATCACATGAGAGTCGATTAGGGTTTTTGAGATATTGTATTTTCCATTCAATAAAGAAAGCGGCGACCGATTTCTATTCATCTTCTTCTACAAATCTCTTTTTAAATTCCTTTACATTACTCTACTGTCAGATCTGGGTTTAACAAAGTACAATATATTACGATTAAATGCAATTACTGAATGAATAGAAACCACATTAAAAAATAAGTACCTCAACAGTTTCACTAATTTCAACAATATTTGCTTTACTGGTTCTATCTAGAAAATCTTCACGATATGAATAAGACAATCTAGAGAGCATTGAAAGCTGTTGTGACAATTTAGATTCGCCACTCTCTCAAATCAAACTATTGAATTAGGAATATAAGTAAACAACAATGTATATTAAAAAATATCTCATATATAAGAGAAATAAATAAAATAATATTTGCCGACCTATTCTTAAAATCCCTGATTTCATCAATTTCATAATTGATGAACAACCTCGTAACATTAAATGAATTAGAAAGAAATGGTTTTTCTGAAACAAAACAAAATAACTGAAGTTAATACAACAATGCTTAAAAGAAATATATATTTTATGAGTGACACAAACCTCGGTAAATCTTCACCATTGCAAAATGAATTACAAGAATAACAACCCCGTTGTCCTTGTGATTAGAAACATAATCACTGAATTCCTGAGCGAATGCATCCCACAATGTATCTTGGATTTTAATCCCCCTAAATAAATCGTAACAAAGGAATTATATAGTTTGTGAAGATTGTTGTTAGTCAATTAAAATAAAAATACTTACTCCAAGTCTTGCATCTCAATTTGCATCCGTCTCTTCAGTTTTCCATTGTTGTCTGGAAGACTGACCATTGTCTCACAAGCAACGACCTCACCATTTACATCTATATAATGATTAAAAAGTTAACATAACTAACTTTAACCTGAATGATAGCATATGACATAATTTATTTAAAAAATATAGTAAAACTGAAAGAATTTAATTGACTAACCAATTGCTGTATGTTCTGGAATAATTTTTGATATAACATTTGCAAACTTGACTAATGAAAAACCAAACATGGAACCCTTAAAATCCCGACAATTGGTAACAGAGGTTTTGTAATACAAACTTAACTTTTTTGAATTATCAATTAACTTGTATTTGGACGCATGTCGAGCAATTGTAGGATTTTTTATCAGTATGGCAGCCCCTTCATGAAGTAAACTTTTGAACTTAGGAACCCATTTCTGTAGAACATTGGCATGGATTTTAGTTCCCTACAAACATGAAAATGGAAAAGGAACGAGTAATAATAATGTAAAGATATTAAGAATCTGACATAACAAGAAAATATGATGAATACAATACTAAAGATCGAAAAAGAAATAAGAATTAACCTGCTCATCCATTAATAATTTAATATCATCTCCATGGAATATATTTCATCAGGATTCTTAAACACTGATTGATTCCATAATCAAATGATTCTAGCCTTCACAGTGAAGTCATCCTTTTGTATGTCAAGATCTTTAATCAATGTAACATTCTTCACACCCATTATTCTGTAGAAGGAAAAGCATTTATCAATTAATCAAAATTATGAAGTTGTGTAGTCTATCCAAGTTATCATACCTTACAGCAGGTAAGCAATTCGTGTTGGTTGTTGTCGTTTGAATGTGAGAAATGTTGGCAATCTGAGTGATAAGAAGTACGAAAATTGAACCACAATTTAAAACCACGTCCCATGATGAAAAATCGGAATATGAAAACAACTTTGAAACAAATTTTCGATTTTATGGGGATTACAACCGATAATGACTGAAGTTTTGAATTTTGAATTTAAAATCTACATCTAAATCTAAATCTAAATCTAAATCTAAAGTAGGTTAATAAAATAAATTAAAAGATGAAAGGGAAGGCCATTTTTACCGCAGTTAAGAAGTCTGAATTTTGCGTCGCAGGAAGCCAGACTTGTCTTATTTGGATGAAGTTTGTGTTTTTTAGAGTTATCATCAATGATGTCTTATTAGTGTGGGGAGAAGATGTCAGAGTTTTCTTGTGTGTTATGCGGGTTTTTTAAATGAGGAAAATGGCTTCAGATTTGTCTTCAGTTGTCAAAGATAACTCTGGACTTTAACTCTGAAATGTAGGAATTCAGAGTCCTTTTGTTAGAGTTGAACTAAATCTGGGCTTACCTTTGATTCCATGTAGTTCAGAGTTGTCTTCCTAGGGTAGAAAGTGTCTATGAGCATGACTCTATCTCATGACTTAGCTGAATCCTTGTAGGCCATAGTTGTAACTCTGAACTCCAACGCGATGAACGTTTAGAGATGTATTATAAGTCTGGCGAACATACTGCGGAACTCTAGCACTTCAGACTTAAAAGTTTGGTGGGAAGTCTATTTGTCATCTTTAGGGATAAAGTCTGAAGTTTTATTTTCAGATCTAGAGGTATGGACTATACAGCCTTCCACAATTCTACAGAGTATAAGCTTGTAAAGTCATTCTTCAGAGTTATGTCACCCCAACCTCTTTCCAAGGCATAACCCACCCGAAATGTACATTTTGAACTCTGGAATCTACTATTCTAGACTTATAAGTTCTAACTCTGAAGTCTTCCTCTCAGAGTATGGAGAAAAGTCTGAAGGCTCTTTACAGATTTGGAGGTCTGAACTAACAAAGAAAAAGGTTTTGTTACAGACTTGGTAAATACCTAGGACACAGCTTTGACAATCTAGGATCCAGACTTCCGACGGAATTCTACATTCATACCCACAAGTTTGAAAACATTTCAGAGTTAGAAAAGGAACTCTGAATTCCCCAGACATCAAAACTTGTAAACTTTCACGTCCAAAATGTACCTAACCCGGTTCATTACCATGTGTTGATATATGATTAGACCAGCTATTAACACATCTCATAAATGCAACTAAACAATTTTAAAAAACACGATAGTTTATAATTTGCATGCTTAATGATTCGATTAACTACTCTAGACTTCCATGTGTCACTCTACAAACAAACCTTTCGAGTTCTTTGTTTAAATTGAAAACCATATATATTCCATATTTGTCAATCGTCATCACTCCCGCCTTTATTTTCCTCATACAAATTTGCCACTTGCGATCACAGAATACCAAAGCAAACCACCAATGGCTAACTCATAATCGAACGTCCAGAAAACAATCCACATGATCAAAACCTGCTTCGAACCCTCCTCCTCCTCTGATTCTGACAATGAGGTCAACCAGGATACTTCTATCCTGATTGGAAACATTCAAGTTGCGCTCTAGGAGCATGTGTCCCTTTCTTTAAAAAATCAATCCCCATCATCGAACACTGGATTCAATCACCCGACTCCGATTCCAAACCCAAATGATGAACAACTGTTGGTCCCTTGAGGGTCTACAAGATATGTGTAACAGTTTGTAGAAGAGGGGGGAGATGAATACATAGACAATATTTTCAAATTTAAAATGTATATTGATAAGAGAAGATCAATACAAATTTTACAAGACTGTTTGCGGAAAGATAAAGTAAGAAAACCTATCTAAACAATCTTTTGTTACACACAAAATCTTAGCAAATGAGAAAAAAAATGATGTAAAGAAAAGTTCTTTACTTAAGCTCTAGAATGCTCAAAGTAAGAATTAGGTTAAGAGAGTGTGTTGTGCGCACGCTCTGCATGGAGAAGAAACACTTCTATTTATATCCAATGCATTAAATGTTCCTTTGCTACAATGAATAGTACAAAAAGACTACTCATGAACAGACATCCTTACCTAAAGTTGGTGGGTAATAGAGTCAACTAGTCGGCTTCGTACCGTACTAACATTTAGAAAGGGTATGGGTTTGTCCTTTGTGTGCATAAGGACAAGACAACAACAATCGTGCTTGGCAAGCCTCCTTTGATCGTTGAGTGCTGGAATAACCTGGAGGTCTCTTCAGTATTCGCCGAGGCTTGAACAATATTCACACATATGTAGACATGCTTGTAATCACTGAGTACCGCTTCAGATCATGTACTCGCCAGTCTCTAATATTCAGTTTCAGTCTTCGACTTTGGCTGAAGGTTCTTTGGTGTGAGTGTTGTCTTCTTGAAGTATCGCTATCTCTGATTGAATTACAATACAAGTTCTTCAGTGATCACTGAACAGGCTCAGTGATGATCGCTGAAACTGAAAAGACAGAAACATAAATACAACGTACAAGTGAAAAGGGATTATCATCATATCACTGAGAAAGAGGTTCAACAATCTTCCCTTATTTGATGATAACAAGACAACATAAAGAAAGTTGTCTTATCAAATAACAGTAAGGAAAAGGTACATATAAAATACATGTCCCTTTTTACTATTTTGGGATCTTTTCCACTAAGTCAGTCTTAGCTTGTGAATTTTCCTTAAGTTATATCTAAGTGAAAATTACAAGGATGAAAACTGAAACTGAAAGCTTATTCACTGACTTATAGATTGTCAATGAAAGTAAAAAGTAACACTTGAACTCATGGACTTGTGTCCCTATTACTTTTTTCAGGGACATTTTTCAGTGAAATACAAGAAATACTCATTTTATTATCATTGGTAATATTACAAGTAGTTCAGTACGTGTCTAATACTTATAGACTAGAAGATTAATCACTAAAAGTAGACATAATAAAATAGATTTACAAGGAAAAGTGGACAATATTACAAAGAGAAACTAATCTAGAACACTCAGATCTATGTAGCTAGGTACATCTTTCACCAAGGTTTCTTCGACGTAGGCATTCCCTTCGTATCTTTAAGTCCATGACTTTTCCAGGCATTCTATCATCTATCTAGAGTAAGAGGTAAACCAGATGACCCATTGGACATAGATGTAGCTCTGACCTTCTCTGAAATCTGACTTCACCTTCATAGTCAAGGAATATAACTCCTAACTGAGGTTTGAAATGCACAGCATTGGGTGTATAGGGACACTTGTCTGGCAAGTCAAGATTCAGCATAGAAATGTCTATACTCTCATGACCCTTCAGGATTTCATCTAAGGAGAACGTTGTTTCATGTTCGTTCCTTAGGAATGGTCCATCATTAGGATCATAGAGCTTTTGTTTCTTCTTCCCACCTTTCTTTAGAGAAGGCCTGTCAGGGACTGCGACAAATCTGGATATCCGTTTGATGAGATCGCTGATAGTGTCCTCGATAGTCGCCTTATGTCTTGACTTGGATCGCTGAATGTCTTTCCTGATCTCCATCCATTTGCTGTATCCATATCGGCCAAGGTAGGAAGGGTACTCAGTGATGGCATCGAGATTGTCTTTGGTGATAAGCATTGAGACCAGTGCTCCACCATCTTTTGAACGTCCATTGATGCTGACGCTGATGATCGGGCAAGGACTGACTCTTTTCTTTAGCTTTGCTTCGCTCCGTCGTTTGTCCTTTTCCATCAGCTTTAGGCTCTTCTCATGCTCAGCTTCTTCAATGGAAAGTAGTTTATCCTGGGCTTGGACAACATTCACCTTCTTCTTAGACTTTCTCTTGGGCAGAATCTTCTCAGCTAGTGACTTGGCCAGATTTCAGCTGTCTTTAGTCTGCTTCATCTGAAGCTCTAGCTCTTGTTCAGCCCTTAATGCCTCGAGTCTTTCAGCTTTTGAAAGAAAGTCAAACTCACCACCACTATAGGTACGAAGAGGGATTTTTACTCTAGTATGGTCGAGTGACTCCTTTAGCTGAGCCATTTGCTGGTCGATGGGAGCACTGGAGACAGGGTTTTTAGGGACCCACTCCAGTCGACCGCAGGTAGTTGATGGAATCTGAAGTTGATACAGAGAAGTGACTACTACCTGAGAGGTAGAGTCTTCAAACAAGGGTTGAGAGATATTGAAAAGTACCTTCAGATTCCCTTTTTTCAGCGACCGTTTTGCCTTTCGACTTATGGTCCTGGTTCTTTGATGGAGCAGACTCTCCTTCTCTTTGCTCCCCCTGGGATGCAGAATCCCTGAGGGAGATTCCCGTGGTGGTGGTTGTTGGCTTTTGATACTTGATGGTAAGGTCATCATCATCATCATCACCACCACCACCACCATCTAGGTCACTTCCCGGGTCTGGGATAGCAGGTTCATCATCTTCATCATCATCATCATCATCATCATCATCATCATCATCTTCGTCTTCATCATCATCATCATCATCATCATCATCATCATCATCACCAGCAACAACGGTGATGGGAAGAGCATCATCCCTAGGGATGGCATCACTGCCTAAGATGAAACAGCTTCGGCGGTCGAGATTACAGGAGCAGCAACAGCTTCAGCTCTAGGAGCTTCAGCTGTAGAGAATGCTGGAGCGGAAGCAAGAGCAACATCAGATGGTCCAGCAGCGTTGGACCTCATCTCCCCCTCTCTGGCTAAGACGTGAGAGTATAA